GCCCCCCCCCCCCGTACTGGGATGCTGGGGGGGGGGACTCTCTTCGGAAAGAACTTCTGACTTGTTACTATGGGGGCCCGGCTGAGCCCCCCACCCCTCACCCAGGGGGCGACCAGCCATCCCTGACCCTTCGCCATCCTTCTGGCATGGGGGGCGCACGGGGGGGTGTGGGACAGAGGCGTTGGATGGGGCTGGTGGCACCAGAGGGGGCACGTGGGGCGGCGCATGGGTCAGGGAGGCGGGGGGGCTGGTGGGGCCAGCGCTGGGGATGTGTCCCCTGCCCCCCCACACGCAGACACAACTCCCCAACCTGGACCCATGGACACCGACCTGGGGGCCCCGCTCCCTTTCTCCAGCCAGGACCCGCCCCCCCCCCCCGCCCCCCCCCCCGGGCCTGAGCCCCCCCCCCCACACTCATGGCCATGGCCAGGGTGGGGGGGCATCTGTACCCCCCTCCTACCATGCTTTACCCCCCCTTATTTGCCCCCTACCCCCCAGTCCCTGAGCTTGCAGGGTCCACGTCTCTAGTTGGGGGCTGGTTTCTGCCTGGGGCCAGGGCATCCCAGCCCAGAGGGCCCGCACCCGCCCGCTGTACTGTCCCACCCAGCCCACCCCGCCATCTTGGGGCTGAGGCGAGCCTGGCGGGAGCCTGGCAGCCATCTTGGGGCTGAGGCAATGAGGGCGGCCATCTTGTCACTCCGATTGGCCTGGCAGGCAGCTTGGCGCTGGGGCGACCAGTGAGGCCAGCCGGCGCTGAGCTGGGCCCAGGGGACGCCCACCAGCTCGTGCGGCGCCCAGGCACGGCTGGCAGGAGCCCAGCAGCCAGTCTGGACTGGTGGCCATCTTGGCGCTGAGGCGTGACCAGCGGCCATCTTGGTGCCCATGCCCCAAGCCAACCCCCCCGCAGGGAATGACCGCGGGGCTTGGCCTGCGGCCTGGGCTGTGTTCTGAGGGGAACCATGAGGTAAAGTGGGTTTAATTTCATGTTGACTGACCAATGAGGGTGGGGGAGGGGGAAGTTGTGCCAACATCCGGGTACTAAAACAACCGTTAGTGCGGGAGGGAGGGGAGCGAGGAAACTGAAGCAAAGAGTGCGCATGCGCAGAGGAAAAAGGGTGGGATGGTGGCGCGCACGTGCCAGTTTTTGGGCCCAGGACACTTCTGCGCAATAGGAAAGCTGGGCGGAACGAACACTATGCGCATGTGTATTTGAGCAGGGGGCGAAAGGGAGAGCATTCTGCGCATGCGTAAGAGACATCACATCCGGGTCGTAGAGACGCCGCCATCTTTCGTCTGGTGTGGAGGAGAAGGGTCCAAAATGGCGGCTCCCAGGGGGCTGGCATCCGCAGCCTCCCCACGCCGCGGGTAGATCTCCCGCCCCGCCCGCGGCGACTGGAGTCCGCGCACCGCTGCGCACAGGTATTATTGTAATCCCTTTAAACGTTCGGTCGCGTAGCAACGGCAGCCGGCCCCTTCGGCCGCCATCTTGAGCAGCCACCTCCGGGTAGGAGGTGGTCGCCATCTTGAAAAACGGCCACATCCACGCACTTAGGCCGCCATCTTGGAAAGCAGCTAACATCCGGGTAAGTAACAGTAAACCGTCATGTTCTGGCCTTCGGGAGGGGAGGTGCATCCGGGTACCTGCGGGGTGGGGCGGCTGCCGCCATCTTGTTTCCCTCCTGATGAGGGAGCGACATCCGGGCATTTAGTGAAGGCAACATCTTGGGTCCCTTTTGACGACAGTCGCTATCTTGGAGATTTCTTGGTCAAACCGCTCAGCGAGCCGCCATCTTGTAGACCACACAGTGGGGCGTCGTACATCCGGGCATCCATGGCCCCGCCATCTTGGAGCCCTCCTAGTACATCCGGGCATCGAGGGAGGCGCCCGATTGGCTCTAGTCTAACAAATGGGACAGACACATCCGGGCATTTAGACGGCGGCCATCTTGGATAGGGATTCCCGCTGTTCCGCCTTCATCCGGGTACTTGAGCGGGCGGCCATCTTGGTTCCGCGGCCGCCCCTGGGCGTTTGGAAAGACGCCATCTTGGATAGCGTTATGCAAGCGGCCGGCTCATCCGGGCATTTCTGCTGGCGCCATTTTGAATAGCCCCGAGAAGAGCCACATCCGGGCATTTTGCGTGGGGGGCGGGGACTCCAAGACCGCGGTAAATTAAAAGTGCGGCAGCTCAAAGCCCCAGCTCGGCCCCCGCCCCCGAGGGAGGGCGGTGTCCCTCTCGCAGCCCCGGCAATCAAATCCCGGCTTCCCCTCCCCCCAATGCATAAGGGGGGGAGCCAAGATGGCGGCCCCTATGGGAGGGCGGAGCCAAGATGGCGGCGCCCAGGCCCGACGGAGCCCGCCGTACAGCGGAGCTGGTGTTGGGGTAGGCGGCCGCCGCCCCGCGCGGAGAGCGGCGCGGCGCAGCGCGGGGAGCGGCCGGGGTGTCTCTGGCCTTGGGGGGAAGCGCAGAGCTCGGGGGGGGGGGCAGGGCGGAGTCCAAGATGGCGGCGCCCATGTGAGGCTTCCTACAGCGGTGGCTGGGGCGCGGGGGGGGCGCACAGCCCCCCCACCCCCTAGCGCGCGGACATGGGGGGCGGCGCCTCTCCAGCGGGGGGCTGCCCGCGCGGCGCGGCTACCCGGGCCCGGGGGAGGGGGGAAACTGAGGCACGCCTGGGGGAGCACCCCTGGGGGGAGCCCCTGGAAAGGGGGCTGGTTTCCCCGTCTCAGGGGGCGGCGTTCGGGGCAGGCTGAACGCCTTTAGCTTGGGAGGGGGAAACTGAGGCACGAAGCAGGGCTTGACATGGGGGGCGTCTCCTTCCATCTGAGATGGCGGCGCCTGTGCCAAGCAGGGCCGTGCTTCGGGGTGGGGCGCCCCACCCGCCAGGGGGGGATAGGGCGGGGGGGGGGGGTTTCTTCCCAGCCAGGATGGTTGCGCTCATGTCAAGCTGAGCTCAACGCTGGGCCTTGTGTTGTGGCGTGGGGCCCTCAGCCCCCCCCCCCCCCCGTGGAAGATGTCAGGGAGCGAGCGTGTGGGGGGAGTTCACCCCAGGGACAAAGGGGTTTTCCCTCCAAGATGGCCACCCTCATGTCAAGCAGAGATCGGTGTAAGGCCGGGCTTCTCAACCTTTTTCTTTCTGTGCCCCCCCCCCCCTCCGCCCCCCAACATGCTATAAAACTTCACGGCCCACCCGTGTCACAAGTGTTGTTCTGCATAGAAAAGCCCAGGGTGGCAAGCAGGGCAATTCCCCGGGGCCCAGCGCCGGAGGGGGTCCTCGAACGCCAGCCTGGCTAGTACCCCTGGAAAGCTGCTCGTGGCCCTGGGCTCCCGCCTGAGCACTGCGGGGCCGTGGGAAACGGAGCTAGTAACGGGGTGCTGACAAATGGGGGAGGGGTTTCCTGCCTAGCCAGTTTATGTCTGGGAGGTGGGCTCCCCTTTAGCTGGAGGGAAACTGAGGCACTCTGGTTCTTAACATTGGCGAGGGGAATAAAACTACAAGGGGTGTGGGCTTTCTTCCCCACCCTGGCTGGCAGCGCCCCTGCCTGTGGTACAACCTTTTATTGTGGGGGTGGGGTCCCCATAGCCGTGGGGGGGACATTGATGTAGTGAGTGTGGGAGGGGGAAATGTTTCCTCTCCTCCCTCCCAAGATGGCGGCGCCCATCCGTGCCGTACAGCGTTTTTTTATTCTG